ACATCATTCAGAAGCTCTGTTATTAACACATTGCTTTCAACCAATCAAGGCAACTTGTTTGCTTTCATTCTTTTCCATCCTCTATTGCATTTAAGCACGAAAAATTCGTTATGCCTTTCAGCTTTAATACATTAAAAATCACAGCAAGATAAATGGAAAGGGCTCAATATAATAAATTATACCGAGTAGATCAGCACTGGACTAATTTAAGAAGCGAATTGATATCACAGGAAATGAACTCTAACACAGATATGATGCAATCAACAAGCTTACATGGAAACATTTGATGCACTATGAGAATCTTATATTTTTAATGAACACGAGTGAATCCAATCCTTTCAACAATGAGATTCAATGGCTTTACTTGTAAAAAGAAGGATTCATCCCTAATTTAAATTTGTGCGCTTTGAATTTTTTAGGGGAAATGAAATTAGTACAACACTTTGAAATTAATTGTATCACATTATATTTGCGTTATAAATAATTTAATTTTTATGAATATCAAATCTAAAGTTACGAACATGACCACCAAATGTCAAATGATATAATTGTAAGGTTTTTATGTTGGTACATATAAGGCGCTTTCCGTTTGTCTCATCATAATAGAAATGGGATCTAATTTGATCTGATTGAATTTGATTCGATTTGATTTGATTGCATCAAATTTGATATAAATTCAAATTAAATCAAAATTATAATTATAATAGTTACAATAAGAGTAAAAATATTAATAATAATAGTAATAAAAATAATAACAATAATACTAATAATAATAAGAAGAAAAATAGTAATAATAATAATATTGGTAATATTAATAGTAGTAGTAATAGTAATAGTAATAATTGTAATAATTATAATAAAAAAGTAATAATAATTTAAAAAAATAATAAAAGTACGGAGTAATAGTTAAAATAATAATGGTAATGATAATTGTAATAATAATAACCATAATAATAAGAATAGTAATAAAATAATAATGGAAAGAATAATAATAATAATAATAATAATAATAGAAATATTAATAATAATAACATTATGATTATTATTATATAAATAGTTATAATAACAATAGTAATAATAATTATAATTTAATAATAATATTAACAATGATATTAATAGTGATAGTAATAATAATAGTAATAATATCAATAGTAATGATAATTACTCCGTATAATCATAATAATAGTAATAGTAATATGAACAATGATAATACTACTAGTAATAATAGTAATAATAATAATGTTTAGATCTGATTTTATTAGACCTAATCTGGTCTGGTCTGATCTAATTGGATCTGATCTTATTTTAATAAGAATAAATAATAAGCAAAAAAAACAAGTTGAACGGAACACTACCTTACTCAATCTAGTAGATTAGTTTTTCTATAAAGGTTTTCTTTGTAACACACATACGAACTAATTAGCTTAATAGCACAAGTACCCCCCTCCCCCCGTGGTTTACAAAATAGGCACCAAAACTAAAATTCTCGTTATTTCAAAACGTTGCACCGACACCCCCAGCGACGAAGGGCTTTCCCCTTTAGGATCATGAAGAACATTCCGTCATAAAAACTTAAACCCATTTGAAGAGGTACAACCAACACGAGTTGCTCAAAGAGGAAGATCAAGGATGGATGTCTAAGCGGAAATTGCCGTATTGAAGCTCTGCATGTGGCGAGCTTCGTATAGCGAAGAGGTGGCATTGGCGCATAATTTCTAAATTATAGAGGGTACTCGTGCTCAATTCTTATTTTTCTTTTTATTTGGGCTTTCCCTTTTTAAATATTTTTATCTCTTTGTTTACTTTTCTTAGATTTTTTTAATATCTTTTCAATTTTTTATAACGTTTAAAAAAATTCAAAATTCTTTGTGTTTGAAATAAAAATAAAAATGAGTAACATACACTACACCTATCTCAATTTAAAGATTTTTACTTTTTTAGAATAATTTTTTAGAAAGTTCAAAAAGAAAATCCAAAATAAAATATAAAAATATAGAAAAACGAAATGAAAAAATTAAAATATGCAAAAAAAGAGTCTTATACAAAAAAAAATTCTGACACGCCTAAAAAAATCATTAGAATTGAAATGTCCAGAAAGGATATTCATTTATATATTTTTATATTTTTTTCTTACTTTGTTCCTTATTTTTTGAAATTGTCAAGAAAGATTTTACTTTTTTTGGAATACAAAAAACAAAATTTATCATTTTGTGACGTACAAATGCAGTATATGTTATTGTGACGTACAGATGCAGTGTATCATTAATATTTTAGTAAATGTGAAATAAATTTAAAATGATATACAAATATATCTGTTAGAGAGATTTAAAACAATACTGTTTAATAAATAAAAGTATTACGGAGTAAATTCTATAAAACAATTCTATCCGATCAACTTGTACGTATAATGGATTAGACTAACCATTCTCATCAACTTAAAAAGACGGATGTGTAATATGCAAAAAATTACTCTAAGGGTCCGTTTGGTATACGGAATTGGAATTGAATTGGTTTTGAAATTCCGTGAGATTGAATTTCATAGAATTGAATTTTGTCAATTCCAATTCATTTTTTGCATTATCAATTCCAAATTCACATAATTTTTGTGCTACCAAACACCAAAATTGGAATTGAAGGCATCAATTTCAATTCCATAGTTTGAATTCCATGTACCAAACGGAGCCTAAGGTTCCCTCAATTTTCTAGTAATGATTTCGAAGTCCCACATTATATGAATATGCTCCGGGGTACCTTTGATTTTCTGGACAGAACTATCATGTCTCTTATTATTTAAAATTTACAACAGGAGTCCTTAAGATTAATTATAGTAATGTACTATTTGGATACATTCCATTTATTTTATCGTTAGGGTTAAAGATTTGGCATTTTGATAAATACTAAATTTTACTTTCACGATCATTATGTTATCAAATTTAAATAAAGTCCTTCACCTTCTCGAAGTAAAAGAATTTTCAATCTTGACATCTAAATGCATGTAATGTACCTTCGAAATATAATATCACAAATTTTAAGGATCTCGAAGTATATTCCGGAGTATATTTTGAATAACATGGAATTTGAGAATTTTTTTCAAAAAACTAAGTGTATCCGAGAGTATATTTCAAATATATAATATGGGACTTGATAGTCATTACTAGAAAATCGAGGGTATTCTGAAGTAATTTTATGTGTAATATGTAGTCATGGTACGTTTTTGAAAAATTAGAGGTGTAATTATGGTTATTTTGAAATATGGAGCAATATATAATTGAGATTATTCTGAGCAAAGAAGCAATAATTAAGATTATTTTCATCATATTTTCCATAAACACATGCATTGTGAGTAACAACATGGCTCCGTTGATACTGCAAAAACAGTATCAATGAATGACACCAGACACTTATGATATTTAATTATTTCCAAAAATGATGATTTTTACCCACTCTATCCGGCCTCGAGCAAACACCAAATATAATTCTCACCCCAACTTATTCTTCACCACTATTAATTACAGTTCGCAAGTTTAGTTGTTGTAGTTGCATTTTTAAAAGTTTTTACAATTACCCCATTCGACCTTAAATAAAATTCTCTTTGAACATCGTGAGGTAATTTGAACGTGGAGATCGATTGTAAACGTCATTCTTTTTGAACACCGTGAGGTATTTTTTTACCGTTGGCAAAAAAATAAAAGAAGAAAATAATCTAGCTGTTGGTTATCCAGGGCTCATTTCCTACTTTCTACGCTCACTTCATTACTATTGATAAGTATAAAAAAAATAGATATTCAATTGTTCAAACATTTTAGAAGTTAATAAATTATTATTATAAGATACATGATGCATGCCACTACTAGAAGGATATGACTAGAGTTAGAGATACTTTCAATGGGATGCCGAGAGAGAAACCATACAGGACCAAGGATGGCTACAAATGGATTCAAGGAGAAAAAGAGAAACCAAACTGGCATGAATATGTATGGAACAAAAGCGCCCCTCCTAAATTCAGATTTATTACCTGGTTGCTAATGAAAAGGAGGCTACAAACCAAAGCAAGGATGTGCAAATACTTAAAGATTGAGATTGAATGTGTGTTGTGTGGGGATGCTACTGAAACAGAGGATCACCTCTTTTGGGAATGTGAAGCAGCACAAAGAATCCTCAATACCTGTCTCACTATCTTTAACTTACAATGCAAGATGACTAAGCTACAAGATATGGAGGAGTATGGGCAGCGGCTCTCAACCAGAAGGAGAAAGACACAATTATGGGCAGTGTGGGCTGGTTGCATATACAACGTATGGAGAATGAGGAACAAAGTGATACACCAAAAAGCTTGTTCTATAGAGGAGGCTATAGAGTTTGTCAGATACTACGTTAGTAATTTTTTTTCGTATGTAAGAAAATATTATTTTTGGATAAAAATGATTTATTTTATTTTATTTGAACACGGGACACAAATTTATTTTTATGATGAAACGTTAGCAATAGTGGAAATTTTGCACACTAGTAGGAGTGGTCTGAATAAAATTTTAACCAATTTTTTTATTTTTAAAAAACTTATGAACTTTATAAATAAAGTATTTTTTTTAATTTTTAACAACTTTCAAACTCTACCAAAATATTTTAATTTTTTAAGAAATTTGAAATTCTATAAATGGAAAGAGTAAAAATTTTTATTATAAATCATTATTATAAGCCAAAAAAAATACTTCGCACTCCACAAATGGGGATATGGGCCAGATAACACAGGGTTTAAAAAAAATTAATTCTCGTTGTTTTTCAACCTCTCGAGAAACGAAGTGGCAGTGGGCTGGATCTCAATCCTCAAAGCAATTCTATTGGGCGGTTTGGGCGTGAACCTCAAAGAGTCAAAGCAGTTGGTGGCCTCTGTCACTAAATACGACAACGACGATTGGCGTTTCGACACTAGGGTTTCTCTCTCTATATACTCCGTAATATTCTTGATCTGTTCATACGACGGAGTATATAAAACGGCGGGTCTCCTTCTTCTTCTAATGGATACTTCTTCTCCCTATCTTCCATTTCTTTACTCTTGTTTTCTCACAACTTTCACTATTCCTTCAAAAGATTTCAGTTTCTTTTCCTTTGGTTTTTCTCATTGTTCTTCCCCAGATTTTCAGTTTCTTTATTTTCTTTCTTCTTCTTTTCACGATTTTCTCGATATGGAGTCCAATCTTTCATCGGCTTGCCACCATTCTTCGCCAAGAACAACCCCGACTCCCAGATCTTGGTCCTAAGGAGCCTGTTGTATTTGATTCGATTCGCAGACTGGTATGTATTTCAAAAATCTTATTTTTTCTTGGATTTGGGATTCTTGGCTTCCCCTTCTTCCTTTCCCCATTTCTCCACCCGACCCGCTTAAAAAACAACTTAACCCGACCCTTACCCGTTTTAAAAACGCTCTGTTTTTTAATTAATGCCCACGTTTCCCAACCCGACCCAGACCCAGGCCTCCAAACTTGACCCGTTTAAAAAATCAAATTAACCCGACCCATACCCGTTTTAAAACCCACAAATTCTCACGGAACATTCTGGAATTAACTTTTTCTTGTCTGAAAAGAAAGATACACCAGCCGTTGATTTCAAAACGTTTGGTTTTGTAATCAACGGTTGGAATGCCGATCCGTGTGAGTTTTTTCCACCAATCAAATTTAATTTTGAATTCTATAAATACTCCCAATAAATGATTTTAAAATTTAAACTGTTCATTTTAAAATTTCCCCCCGCCAAAATGCCAGGATCCAATGCTAGGGTTTCCCAGAGAAAGGCAATCCTCCGAGCCTCTGATCCCCGAGTAGGTCAGAGCTTTCGCGCCGCCGTTGCTCGCGGCGGAGCTCCCGCTCAGGGACGTGGCGGAGCTGCAGGTCGTGGCCGCGGAGTGCTCCCGCTCAGGGACGCGGCGGGGCTCCCGCTCAGGGACGCAGCGGAGCCGCTGGTCGCGGCCGCGGTGGAGCTCAGGGACGCGGAGTTGCAGGACGCGGTGGAGTTGTTCAGGAAATCGGAAACGTTGCTGGTCCGGGAATAGGAGCTCCGCCGGTCCAGGAATCGAAGTTGCAGCGGGTTTTGGAATCGAAGTTGCTGCCGGTCTAGGAATTGAAGATGCTGCCGATCCGGAAATTGGAAATGCTGCTGCCGGTCTGGTAATCGAAGATGCTGCGGGTGATTATACATGAATTACATAAAAAATAAATATACTAATTATCCTTTAGAAAAAAGGAATTCAAACTATGAAAATAGAATTAGTGACTATTTTTAATTCTAATGTTTGATGACATAAAAATATGTGGATTTTGAATTGTTGAGTCTAAAATAAATTGCATTTGAAGAATTTAATCGTATCCACATTAATTTTTTTAGAATGTCACCTTTCAATTCCAATTTTATCACTGCCATGTACCTAACACTCCCTAAAAAAATTTAAAGTTCAGATTTACTCCTTCTATCCAACAATAAAGTTTTCGTTCGCTATTCACATGGTCAAACTATATCCACTTTTAATATAGTCATGTCACCTCTAGTTTTGTAGATTTTTTCATGTAGTTTTTAAATATGTAATTTTTATTTTTTAATTTCATACCATTTTTTCATATAAAATGATTTTAAAATAATTTTAGTCAAAAATCCTAACGCAACGGGGACTTTATTTGTGTACTGAGTATCTAATACGGAGTACCATATTTATCTATACAATGGTGTGAGGCATTTTTCTACAGTGTTCCCGCCAAAACTGTTGGGCCGAAACCGTGGTAATGGGCTGTTGTCCGTGGGCCAAAAATTGGTCATTGGCAAATTTCTTGGATAATGTGAGTAGATTTCTTGGAAAGAGTTAGAATGCTTTTGGGTAAGTGTGATGTTGCTTTCTGGTCTTCTTTTAGGCATGCGCCTGACAGTTTATGGGGCTGCGGTATACAGCTGGCGTGGTGTTAGGCTCAATGAAATTACTTTATGTCTATTCAATTTAGTTTATCCATAAAATTGCATTGGGAAACAAAAATTTAGTGGTTCCATAAAGTTATTTTTAGTGGTTCCATAAACTTGCTTTGGGAAAAAAAATTGAGGGGCTCCATAAAGTAGATGAAAAAGTAACCTTGTGTCAAATCCAACATTATATCTCATACCAATCTCACAAATCCTGATAGTATATATAATAAATCATTCTCTGATTTACCAACACCACAACTCATAGTCCTACTTTTCTATTTCTCATTCAATCTTTCTATTTCTCATTAAGCATCTAGCTCTCAACAAAAATGGTGTTTCCTTCTTTACATTTTACATACATACACACACACACACACACAGATATTATGGTGAATTTTTTGAACTCAGTCAGTTTCAACCAAACTTTGGACACACACAGATATATATATATATATATATATATATATATATATATATATATATATATATATATATATATATATATATATATATATATATATATATACCACATGTGTATATATATATATAATAATTACAATAGAGGCTCAGATTTTTTAATCCAAAATTAAGTTTGAAGCAATATAAGAAACAAAATCGCCATGGCTGCAACAACGGGGGTTAATTCCGTTACGCCACGCCAAGATACGTTCGTTTTTTTATGCTTCAAACATTAAAATCCTAAAAATTCACCATAACAGATTTCAGTCCTTCCATATCATCACAGCCCTATATTTAAACACACTCCGATGTTGGGACCTGTATTACGTTAATACGGAGTGATAATTATATATATAATGTAATATATAAAATAAGTATATGTTTATTAATTCTCTTGAACAACAAGGCGATATATATATACACACACACACACACACACATATATATACACATACATACATATATATATATATATACATATATATACACATATATATATACATATATATCTATACTTAATAAGGGATCTATATATCAATTATATATATATATACATACATATATATATATATATATATATATATATATATATATATATATATATATTACGGGATCTATTAATGTATATAAACCAAAAGGGTAAAGATCCCATCCCAATAAATAAATATATTAATATTAATATAAATTTATATAATATATATATATATATAAATAAATATTAATATTAATATTAATATATATATATATATATATATATATATATTCATATATTAAGATCTAAAGAATCTAAATCGAAAAGGTAAAGATCTCATGCCAATCCGATGTTAGGAATATGTTCTAACGGATCAAAATGAAAAAATCATTAAAACATTAACTCAACAATCTTGATTCGTGCATGTCAAGATCGAATCCGAGTAGCTTAAATAAATAAATATATAAATAAATCATTAAAACATTAACTCAACAATCTTGATTCATACATGTCAAGATCGAATCCCAGTAGCTTAACATAAATAGATATATATATATATATATATATATATATATATATATATATATATATATATATATATATATATATATATATATATATATATATATATATATATATATATATATATAAAGATCTAGAGAATCTAAATCGAAAAAGTAAAGATCCCATGCCAATCCGATGCTAGGAATTTGTTTTAACGGATCTAAATGAAAAAATCAGTAAAACATTAACTCAACAATCTTGATTCGTGCATGTCAAGATCGAATCCCAGTAGCTTAATATAAATAAATAAATAAATATTCATATATAAAGATCTAAAGATCTTGAGAAAATTCCAGAATATATACCTATAAACATCCCGTATTTTAATTCCGACCTACGAAATTACTGAAAAGACGAATTGAAATCAAAAGTTTTGAATCAAAAAAACTTACAAAGAATTGATGTCGAACAACATCAGGAAAATGAAGAGCGAGAGAGAAGACGAGAGGAAGGCGACGATTTGAGAGAGAGAGTGAAGGGCGGCGGAAAATGGAATTAGGGTTAGGCTGGGAACGTTATATATTCCGATAAGGATGGGCTTTTGGGCCTGAATAAATCATGGGCTTATCTTTAAATATTTGTGTTCAGAATATTTGTCCAGTTTTTATTTTTTGTCAATAAAAATTATGTGATTATAATTATGATTAAATAAAAATCGATTTTTTGTTTTAAATAAAAATAATAGTTTTGGAAATATGAGATAAACTGAGTTTACTAACCTTTTTTTCTCCTTGCGTACAGAAATAAACATCTTATTACACGTTACAATGTTTGACTGACATTATTTTTAAATCATTTTATATGAAAAATATTATTCAATTAAAAATTTAAAATTACATATAAAAAAATTATATGAAAAAAATCTATAAACCTAGATATTAACATTACAATATTATTTTATCAAATAGAATACAAAAAATTATCAAGTAAATCAGTTATATAATCCAATGGGATTGGGCTTTTGGGTTTGAATAAGTAATAGGCTTATCTTTAAATATATTTATGTTCAGAATATTTGTCCAGTTTTCATTTTTTAATAAAAAATTTAACATCCTATCCTATCCTACTATATACAATGCTAGGTGCATTTTGTGAACAGTGTTCCCGCCTAAACTAAAGGCTTGGTGGATCGGGTTTGGACCAGGCTCTGTAAATGACGGGTTTGGGCCTACTTTGTTGTTCGGTTTTAGGTCTGGCGTGGTGTGGGACTCAATAAAATTGCTTTATGTCTTTTCAATTTTAGTGGCTCCATAAAGTTGCATCGGAGAAAAACAAAATTGAGTGGCTCCATAAAATTGCAGTGGGGAAAAACAAAATTGAGTGGCTTCATAAAGTTGCATTGGAGAAAAACAAAATTGAGTGGCTCCATAAAGTAGATTTAGGAAAAAGTAACTTTGTGTCAAATCTATCCATTTTAAAGATTTTTTAAATATCTAGCCATTTAATGAATGGTTAAAGGTATCATGAAGCATGTACTATATATATATATATATTCGAGCATAATGATATGAACTTCATTCCTAAAAAATAAACTTCTCAAAAATCATCTCAATATTTCCATTTCTCATTCTGCGTCCAGCTTTCCACGTCAATGGCAATGGTGTTTCCTTCTTTACATTATATATATAAAGTGCATACACACACAGATATATATATATATATATATATATATATATATATATATATATATATATATATATATATATATATATATATATATATATATATATATATATATATAGTAGTCATCCAGCACGTGTACATATACACATAATATACAATAGAGGCTCAGATTTTTTAATCCAGTTTTAAGTTTGAGGCAATATAAAAAATGAAATCAACATGGCTGCAACAACGGGGGTTAATTCTGTTATGCCACGCCAAGATACGTTCATTTTCTTCGATGCCTCAAACATTAAAAGCCTACGAATCACAAAATCAATTTTCAATGTCATATATCATCACACACATATCGATACATATATAAAAAGGAATATATATTTTTTAATATGTAATATCTAAGAGTACACAAAATAAGGTTTGAAAAAATTACAGAGATATCATTTTTATATAGTAATATTTATATCAACATGCCACTATATATATATATATATATATATATATATATATATATATCGACGAAATGAATCGGCGTATATGAAATTCAAATACTTTAACAATCAAAGAGTACCAGAGAGAGAGAGAGAGAGTTATGGATGAGCGACAAAAGAGATGAAGCGGAAGAGGAGGGATCGAGAAAGAGAGGGTCGTAGCGGCGGAAATGAAGAGTAGGGATTCATTTATATCCTTGGGCCGGGAATATAATTGAGCCGGACGATTCATTGGGCTTAGGACTAATACAGTTTCTATAAAATGTATAAAATACTATATTGTTTCAATTTTATTTTTTTCAGGTCAAAGTTTACCAAGCTTGATGGAAAATAGTTAAATATGGACATATAGACAAATACTCAAGAAAGGGGTAGTTTATTTATTGAATTAATATTTACTAGGTCGGATAAACATGGATGAATTATATGAACATAATTTACTCCCTCAAACTATAATTAAATTACATGTGAACTTTTCTCACAGTTAAACTTCAATCACTTTTTTTATTTGATTTTCTAATTTGATTCAATAATATAGTCATTTCCCCATTACTTTTAGAATATATAATTTTTGCATTTTAATTCTACATATTTTTTCATATTAAATGATTTGAAATGAAATTGAGTAAAATGTTGAAAACCAAAAACGGTGATTCAAATATTTATTAAGTTATGATCTATCATATAAATTCATTTTTAATTTCTCACTCATCCACTTTATTTGAATCCAATTTATTTATATCATACGTGTAAAATTTATTCATTATTTCTTTAAAATAATAGTTAAATATTCTTACTGTGCGACGCACGGAAAGTGTTAAAGATTTTGATTTGGAATAAAGATCTTTCTTCATGTTACCAAATAACGAATATAGTTTGTAAAAAAACGTTTCAAAACTTTTAACACTTCCAAAACTCCCCTTCTTTTTTTCTATTTTTTCAATTTATATAATCTTTTCAAGTTTTTGTAACATTTTTCCTTATTCAAAACATTGAGTAATTATATGTCAATTAATAGCCCGTGCATCGCACGGGTACTAGTCTGGTTAAGAAAATAGTCAAATTCCTAGTAGGATTCGGATTTGATACCCGTGGACCGTAGTATTTCCTAAATATACAAATCGAGATCAAAGGGGTTTCGCTATCGATTCCTTTTTCCCTCGCCACAAACAAGCTCTGGCTATGGCGGCTTCTTCCGAATCCGGATGTAGCAGCAAAGTCAGATATTATTACGAAACTCGAGTTTTCACACCTGAGAACGTCGACGATGACGACCCAGATTCCTCCTTTAAAGCAGCCCACCCCATCGCCGCCGCAGCAGCATCTCCAGGTACGGCATGCTCTTCATCCGTTTTGTTCAAGGTGCAGAGCATCCTGAGATTAAGCGTGGCAGGAGGAAATCCTATGACGGAGTTCCTGGAGGAGAATGATTGGCGGGAAACAAGGCAGTCATCCCTTGAGCTTCCTTGCTCTAAAGACGGAATCATAATAGATGATAAGGATAATCTAAAAATAATATCTGAAGCGCTTACCGCCCTTAGGGTTCTCAAAGTCTCTCACCAGTCGATTATGGACCAACTTCGCCAGGGGGCTGCTTCTCTGGGGTTATCTCCCAAGTTCGTGGTGGAAATCTGCGAGGTGACCCACGTCACACTCCCCCTTATAGACGAAGAAGGAAAACGATTCATGGAAGAAGGTGAAACAGTCCTCATTCCTCATAATGGTGATGATGAAGGCGA